TGGATTATCACAGAGAGGAAACACACAGGCTGGATTATCACAGAGAGCAAACACACAGGCTGGATTATCACAGAGAGCAAACACACAGGCTGGATTATCACAGAGAGGAAACCAGTCAGACACCTCCAAACGCTCCAAACTCTCATTCTAAACCTCTGACTGTTCCACGTTTTGCATCAATAAACTTTACTGCTCTCGCTCTCCTTCTGTCATCAAGCTTTCAGACATTATTCGACACGAACGCTGAACACCACCCCCTCTCCCTGCTCCCCGTTCAGCCTGGAGCAGGAAGAAGGTCAGGGGCCAGAGTTCAGACGGAGGTCAACAGGAAATGGCTGTTCTCTCAGGCACCCAGGTCCTGACCTCCGAGCCCCCTCTCCTTTTCTTTTCTTTGTCCCCTCACGTGCTCGCCCCTCGACCACGTCGCCTCACTTTTACTCTTCGACCTCCTCGCAGCCTCATCTTTCTCACCGCTCTGTCATGTAAAGCAGCGCCGCTTTTGTTTCAGGCTGACCTCAGAGAACAGGGCAAAGCTTCTTGTGGGAAAAGAAGGGGAAATATCTTTGTCTTTCTTTAGTTTTAGGCAAAAAAAAAAGTCATTTTAATTCCTCCTGTGCATAAAATGAAACTGCATACTGCTTACTAAGACTAGTTTTAATAAGACGATACATAAAATGCAAAATAGCATTTATGTGTGGTTTTATGGAAACTCTGGAAACAGTTATTGTCTTACGAGTTATATTTTGTTCAGACCCACCTCCAAGGCAGATTTAGCATCTTAAAGACTGCATTTCAAAGATGTTGATGTTGTTTTATAAACTTTACATCAAATGCAACTTCATGTTACACAATAATTTCTTCAGAAATGTAAAAATATTTCTGCCCAAAGTGTCTCAAAACTTCACTGGAAGTGCTACAGCTAGTTGCTGCCGATATTAATGCTTGAAAAACAACAAAATTCCACATAAATAACCAGACACTGCTAAATAGTTGTAATATAAAAGTTTATAAAATAATGTCAAAAGAGCAATGAAATATAGGGGATTGAAGTTGATTAAGGATATCTGTAATGTATTCTGGTGCTGGCTGAGTTTGGACTAGCCATTAGCTCTTCAGTTTTGTTTTTCTGACATTATTTCTTCTAACTGAGGACATTTAAAAGGCCAACTGATAACGTGTTACATTTTCTAAATCAAAAGGACCATTTTAATGCAGTTTAGCTCGAGTGGAAGTTTGAAGCCCCTTCTTAAAAAAAGCACTTCAGTGGATTTTTGTCTGGCGTTGACTCTTGTAGTTTCACAGTTTTTGATGCTCTCCATCATATTCCTAGTCCTCATGACGCCTTGAGTGAATTATGGGCACAGTTTTCGGCGCAGACCAGAATCTGCGTTTGTTCATGTGCGAACAGTACGAACCAGTGTAGTTTCTCTGAGCATTGTGGATTTAATTTAAACATGTGGGAACACCACCTGTCAGAGCTCAAACACAATATCGTAATACGATACGAAGACGATAATCATTCCAAGATGAATAAATACTTTAATGCTGTGACCTCCATAGATCATACCTGATGTTCTCGCCACACTGTTTTCAGTCCTTCTGAGGATCTGACGTCTCTTCTCCGGTGGTTTATTGTAGTCCAGACACAAAGTAGGATGCAGGTTTTACTCCGTCGGCTGTTTGTCAACAAAGTGAAATGAGCTCACATGCAGCGTTTTGGGTGGTCTCTTCAAGTTCACATTTTTCAGCCACATTCTTCTTAATTCTTCATCTGCAGGTAGGAGATGGAAACTATAACGCTTTTCACAGGAACACTCTTTGTTTTGGGTCCGTGTTCAAACTCTGTTGTTGTAGCCACTGATTTAGTTTGGTCTGGTTGTTCTGCAGCTGCGAACACAACAGGTACCTGAACTCAGCACGGCTATTTTAGTCAACTTTATAGTTGTTGAATAAATGTAAAAACAAAACTGTTTTATCTGCTAAACTGAATGCAAAGTTATTTTCAAATAAACCATGGTCTGTACTCTACCAGTGATTACTGCTACTTCCTGTCTGACAGGAAGTTGTACCCAGAATCATTTATACATCAGAGCCCCCAGGAATAAGGTGGATATATTCACATTTTATACATGTAGCTGTAATAAGCTGCAAATAATAACTTTATTCTCTAAAGAAAGGTCATGTGACACACTGAATGTGAGCGGGAGAGCTGGCCCGCATCCCTGGTGCTCAAATTCTGGTTGCAAAATTACAACATGGCCGTGCACGTAAAAGGGATCTAGTGGCTTTACTTTTTAACAATGGAAGGATGCAGGACATTACATCAACATCTATCTCATGCAGTCCAAGTTCAACCAACAAAAGGGTTTTGAAATGCATTTTCTCTGTCTGTTGGAAGTCTGACCAATGCAGCTAAGTTTATTGTTCTGAAGGCAAGAATAAAAAAAAGTGTCACTTTTGCTAACAAAACTTTTTTTATTTGCAGCAGTTAAACAGCTTTTGTTTGCAGTAACAGTCTACACTTCAGATTAGAGAAATGTCAGAAATGATTTAACATGTGAAACACATGATCTGAGACTAATGTGTCTGTAATAAAAGTTTAGCTCCAGATTAAAAACTGCAGAAGCTTGTATGAACGACTGAAGATCACAACAACTCGTCCTTGGTGAGGAACTCGCTGCAGTTTGTGTTGTTCCTGTAGGTGCTGACTGTTTCTGCAGGCCTGGGGATGAGGAGCTCTGTAACACATGGAGGGTTAGTCCAGTCCAGGGGCTAGAAATTTTCTTGTTCACTAACTTTGTTCACCCAAAAGAACTGCACTCAACAGCAGGTGAAGAGTTTGAACTGGTATTTTACTTGTAAGGACTCATTCAAGACAGATTACATACATGATATAAGAAAACAATGTCACAGAATGAGCTCCTATTTTTTTTCCTGCTTGCTCTCAGTGAAGCCAGATGTTTCTCAGATGTTTCTCCCTCCTTGGAAGGCTGACCATCTCTATTTCTCCTGGATGTTATGTGAACAAGACGCTCTGCTCCCCCCCCCCCCCCCCCCACTTGCTCCATTCCCCAAGGACATGGACCTGTGTCAGAGCTCTACCGAGCCGGCTGATAAACACACTTACCAGGACTGTGGAGGGTGGGGAGGGGGTGGGGGGGTATCTGGACAATGCTCATGGACTACTTCCCCTCAAATTCACCATCTTCACTGGCCTCCCTCATTTGCCCCCCTGGTGCAGCAACCTAGGAGATGCGAAGGCTCCAGTTGCTGCATCGCTCACTTGGGCGGTCTGTGCTGGGACCCCCACCCTCACCCACTCCACATGCATGTGTTTTTTTGTTTATTAATTGTTTATTTGTTCAGTTATTTGTTCAATTAAAAGAAACAAAATAAACAAAACAAATTCCATCCATCCATCCATCTTCCATTTTGGGTCACGCGGGTCGCCGGTTCCCATGTCCAGCAAACACTGTGCGAGGGGCGGGGGACACCCTGGACAGGTCACAGGTCCATCACAGGGACACATAGAGACAAACGAGACAAACAACCATTCACTCTCTCACTCACACCTAGGGACAATTTAGAGTTACCAATCAGCCTAACATGCATGTTTTTGGTCTGTGGGAGGAAACTGGAGCACCCGGAGAAAACCCACGCATGCACGGAGAGAACATGCAAACTCCACCCAGAAAGGCCCCTGGACCGGGATTTGAGCCGGGGACCTGCTCGCTGAGAGGCAGCAGCTCTACCAGTTGCGCCACCGTGCTGCCCCACAAAACAAACTCATCAAAAAGAAACAACATTGAATGAACATGGTGCAGAAAGAAGAAAATTCTTATATCTGCCTCTTATTAAAAATAAAAATAAAACTACAAAACAAACAACAACTTAGACTTGAACAATCTCCAAATTGAAAACAAAAAACATCAGGCATCCTTCACTTGGTATCATACTTTCCTAACAATTTTAACTTAATCATCTTTTTAAACATCAATTGTTTTAGAAATTGTTACGTTGATCTCAAGGCACTTCCACAATCTGTTCCCTGAACTACAACGCAGCTCCTTCAGACCAGTTCTAAATGGAGGTTTTACAAACATTTCCATTCCCTTAAGGTTATAATGACTCTATTTTTAACAAATTTTAATTGAATATTTGGGGGTAATATTTTTTATTAGTTTTATGCATGACTTGTAAAATACTATATTCAACCAAATCATCATATTTTAATAATTTCAACTGATGAAATAATATATTTGTTGGGTGACAAAAGCACTTCCTCCTAATAATTCTTATAGTTCTTTTTTGTAAAATAAAAATAGGATCTGTAATTGTTTTGCATGTTTTTCCCCAAACTTCAATACAATATATTAAATATGGAACAATCATTACATTATACAATATATACAAAGCTTTGTCATTCAAAAACTCTTTTACTTTAAACATTAATGCAACTGATTTTGTTATTTTTATTCTTAAGTAATTTACATGAGGTTTCCATGTCAGCTTCTCATCAATAACCACACCCAATTTTTTTTATTTCATTAACTCTATGAATTTCAATATAGTCAATTTAAAATGGGACTTTGATAAATTTCTTTCTATTGCTAAATATCATGTAATTTGTTTTTCCAAATTTAATGATAACATTAAGTTGGAACCAAGTTTGTATTTTTACAAATTCTGCCTGTATCATCTCTAACATCTTCATCCGAACAAAAAAATATGGTGTCATCTGCAAATAAAAAACAGTTCAAAAGCCCCGACACATCAATCAGATCATTCATATACAAAATAAACAAATTTGGTCCCAACACAGAGCCCTGAGGAACTCCACATCCATTCACACAAAATTCAGATTTTACATCGTTTACCTGTACATACTGTCTCCTATTATTCAAATAACTAGATACCCACTGTAGTGCTAATCCTCTAATGCCATATTTATTCAGTTTTTCCAGGAGAATGGTGTGGTCAATAGTGTTGAAGTCCTTTTTAAATCAACAAAAATGTATTTATGTTACCAGTATGTTCCTTTTTTGTTCTTTTTTTTTTTTTTTGCAGCCTCACGTGTCCTGTTAGGGACATAGTGTGAGATATGTTTTTTTTTTTTTTTTACTTCCTCTTTCCTTGTATTCCCCTTTTTTTAATCTAACGAAAAAGAAGCGCCTCTCAGTGAGGCTGCAGCCTCAGACACCCCGTCTGCCCTGTCTGCTGTTTGTTTGTGTTTCTTCGGATGGGTTATACCGAAATGTAATTTTGTTGTGTTTCTGTGCAATGACAATAAAGCTGATTCTGTACAGAGTCATCTGCAAACTTTTTTACAGCAGCGGAGTCCAGTGGGCGTTCCCTCGTCCTGTAGCCAGCTGCAGTCAGCCGCACAGACATGATCCACAGCGAATCGGCCTCCAGGCGGAAGAAAATGTTTTGGGCAAGTTCTCAAGGTGGTAATGCCAAAGAGACACAGCGAGTTCTCAAGACGGGAGGGAAATATGTTTCTCAGCCACATATAGAAACACAATAAAAGCATTGAAAACCTTTTAGAGAAAATTCTCTAACGGATCCGCTCTCAGATTTTCATCTGAGAGCCAGATCCTGATCCCTAAACAAAAAACACTGGTTTTAAAAAGGTCCAACAACATCAATCCATGTGCACATGTTTTATTGATTTAGGGCTAGTTCACATGAAGTGATTTTGGGGGGAAACCGGAACTATTCTGTTGCAGTTCAGCCATTAGTGCACACGGAGCAAAACCAACAACATCCTAGGTCCAAAGCAACATTCCTGTATAGATGTAACTGTGATCCTTCAGATACTGCATGCATGCAGCTGAGCCTGGCATCAGGGCTGCCAGATAAAAATGATTGTTTTTTTTAACCCCTCCTTTCTGTGCACATGTTCACCAAACAACACCGTCACTCAGCACATATGACAAGTTATGTCAAAATACAACAATTCAAAATTACTTGCTTATCTGTCAACCCTGCCTACCATGGAAACTATACTGCGTTTCAGTGTAAATGTTTTTTTGTTGTTTTATGGTGATTGTTTGTTTGTTTATTCCCACCTAATCAGGCACAAAAAGTGCCATGACCCCTGAAGAAGGAAGCAGCTGGGGGGGAAAAAAGTACATATGGTAAACATAAGTTTTGTGTCTGAAGACGTGCTGCAGTCCACTTGTACTCGAGTAGAAATTTTTGAGTTCAAAGCTGGAATAATCAACAGGACACCCCGCAAGATCAGGATTCTGTCTCAAAATTTCAGCTATTCCAGACCAGACCATTGTTTATCTTAACATGTGCAGGTTAACACAAAGTCAACAATGCAATGACAAATAAAAAATAAATAATACGGTAGGTACGGCCATCTTTAAGTTTGTCCAGAAGTTACACGTTCTCTTTAATCGTCAGCAACTTCCTCTGGCGTGTCGGCTCGCCGCCAGAGACTTTTGAACACACTGAACTTTTAGAAACAATAAAACAATTAATGTCCAGTTGAAAAAGAGCACAGTATGCAGATGTCTTGTTCTGTAACAGCCAATCAGCGCCTGGGTCACATGGCACAACGCTCTGTTTATTAAAGAGACGTGTCCTCACATGATTTACACGTTCTTTTGAATCTTACGATTGTAAAGTTGAATTTTCTTAATAAAACTTTTCCGTGTGACATGAATTAAATTTTACTTTTGACAGACCAGTTCAGCAGTCATGACTTCACTTTGCAAAAATACTGTTCAGCAGAAAACAGCACCCAGAGGCCCTACAGTACAACACAGCATTGATTTGAGGGAAATGTAGTCCATCTGAGTAGCGATTACAGTACAGTGGAGGCTGAATGAAAGAAAACTACAAAATGGCAGCACCTGTCTGAATTATTATTATTTTTGTCATTAACTTTTTCACATCCACATGAGTTCTGTGCAGTGATTTTACTGAACAGTCCACAATTGTCTGTAAAAAAGATTATGGACGTACACAAAATGTGATAGAGTGAGTCAGTGAAAGTTGAACCGTGAAGCAGTGAGGGACTACTACTATACAGTATATACAGTATATATATATTTTTTTTCTTTCAGCTGCTCCCTGCGTTAGGGGTCGCCACAGCGAACTAAGTTGCACGAAGACTTGGCAGTTATTTTTACGCCGGATGTCCTTCCTGACACAACCACAGACACCGAGCTACCACAGCCCTCTGTGTGGAGCAGAGAGCTGCCAGCTAGGACACCCGGAGGAGCAGATGGTGGGGTTAAGGGCCTTGCTCAAGGGCCCAGAGTGGGACAAATGAGGGTGTAAGGATGGTACTATTTACTGGCTCTGTTTGTGTCTGTTTCCCTTGTGTCTTCTCTTCAGTTTAATTGGTGTCACCCTTGTCTCGTCACAGCTGTTTGTAATCACGTCTTGTCTTGTCCTTGTATAAAAGCTGTCTGTTCTGTGTTGTTCCTCGTCGGGTCGTATTCGTTGGGTCTCCTGTGTTCTCCTGCGTCTTCTGAGTCTTCCCTGAGTTTCCTGAGTCCTCCCTGAGTTTCCCTTTGAGCCATCCGTTTTCATGTAAGTCTTGCTGCCACGTCAGCTATTATTTTGTTCTTTATTTTCTATTAAAATACTTATTTTTGTAATCTGCCGAGTTGAGTCCTGTCTGCACTACTGGGTTCGTTCCTGACCACCAAATCCTGACATTACGACCCGACCACACATCAGAACCCAGCGGGCAGGGCTCTCTCGGCAACTCACCTTT